CCCTTAAAATATAACCGTACATAATACAAATGTAATAAATCATACAAGAGACAACACTCTGAGCTGGAAATCGGAAATTCCGTTTATTGTAATCACAAAGAGGTCAGCTTGCAGCAAAACACAATGGATAACCCTAAATTGTTTAAACAACTCAATGTAAACTAATGACTTTTATTTTACACCAAATATTGCGAACAACTCAAGAACGTTGAATTTTTTTTTTCACTCGAAGCTGAGAAAGTATTTTGATATTACAATAACGAGTAAATACATTTATTTTTTACTTTTAATGTTGACAACGATATTTTAAACTAAATCCTTTCTTGTATACTGATGAGATTCCCTCGCTTAACAATAGCTCCAATAGTATAGTAAAATAGCAGCACTCAGAGATTGAAGCAACTTCAAGTGTAGAAATTGACAGTGGTAATAATGTATCCCTGCGAAAAGTTAAATACCTTCAAAAACAATTTTTTCAACGATTTCAGATAATTGTGTCTTACGAAAGTTCTTGTATACAACTCACGGATGTAAAAATTAATTAAAAATCACATCACATCATATAACATCTAAAAAACTCTGGAAATTTACAAAATAAACACTTATAATAACTAATAGATTTAACTAAACGAAACGAAATAACATTTTTATATAACCGTATTTCTTTTATACTTTAACACCTAAAAAAAAAAATTTTAAATAATAAACTACTTCGATAGACGCAACACTAACAAACAAGCGTTAAACAGGCTAGGATTGAAAAAATACATTATATCTTTATGATTTAAAAAAATTAATAATAATTTAATTGTTATAAGTTTGCGGTGTTAAAAGAAATAGTTTTACATCATCTTAACCTCTTTTTTACCACGTTATCTGGCTAGTACATCACTTGTCAAGGGTCGCAGTTATTTTTTTTATAACTAAAACAAACAAACTATAGTAGACCAATGAGAGGGCTGGTTTATGTATTGGAGACTTAACACAAAATTATACCCACTTGTTATTTTTATGTACTTGTTGACAAGTTGTTTAAATAAATGTTATTGTTTTAACCGAAAGTCGACATCATGACCTCGTGACCTCATAAGCCTATATATGTGATTTTGACCACTTGACCACATTATAATAAGTTCATGGGAATTTATTGATTATATATGCATATTTTTTTCTTTTTAGTTTTTTAAAGTAGATTATAATTAGTTCATTTGTTGATTACGTTTTATAATGCTGATTTTAATCTTCATTTTTAGAATTTTAATAAAGTACATTGAAGATACGTACAAATCGGTTAAACATTTATCGTCAGCCCAGGCAAAAAAAAAACAATCATCTTGTACAACTTTTTATCTCAGAAGCATAACAATTACAAAAGAAAAAAACATTATTATTATTCAAAAAAATCGCAAACAAAACAAGGATTTGTTATTTTTTTTCTTGTGAAATCTGAAATATAAGTAGAAGACACGCCGCTTTGGCCACTGGAATCTAAGAAAATCCCGGTAAGCTCTATTCCAACTGCATAGTCTAGCCCCAACGGAATACACGGCCAAAGAATAAAATATTACTTTGTTTCCTGGTAGGAAAACTGAATTCATCTGATAATTCACTAAATCCTATTTATTCAATGCGTATATTGTTTTGCAAACTATATTTCCTTGCGCTTATTTCCATCTCACAGCCAGTACTTAAATTGTGTTGTTTCAATAAAAAAAACTTTAGCTTATATTATGATAAATATATTTTAAGATAACTCGACAAAATACTTTAATATCTTGTTATAAGTTAATTAAAATTTCAGATCTCGCCAAAGACCCCCCAATGCCTTATGTTATTATTTGAAAACTTGTTTTAGTTTAAATTCTACGTTTAGATACACTTTACAAAAAACGAGGTTTCAATATTGATTAGAGAAGCTCGATTTTTATACACTTTTATTTTAAACGGCGTTGAGTAGGATTCACATCGAAATATCCTAATTTCCTGTGTTTTCTTTATCCTACGTAATATAAAAGGTATTATTAGAACATTATCAGTAAAGTATATACACATACACGAGTTTTACTAGCTTAAACGTTGAAATACAGTCTTCTTTAGGAGTAAATGAAAAATAATGATAATATGAATGTGCCGAAAAGCAATGACACAACTGTACTTAAACGAAAGAGTGAAGAACTAAAATTAAAACAAAAAAAAAAACGTATACAAATTTAAAACATTTATGATATAAGACACTCCGTTCAAATAGATCAAAATATTACAATTCAAGTTAAATGTACATTTTTAACATCATTATCATTGCACACAAATATTATTTTATGTCACCGTGTCATCAATATAAATTATTAAATTAATATTTTGAATGCGAACTTTGTATTGACACACTTACCTACTTGAATGGTTTATTAAAGTTCACCAAATAAGTGCATTTTGATGTTATCTAATAAAATTAATCCTATTTACTTTTCTAACTACCGCCGTCGATCAGAATTTTGACTTTAATTTAATGTTTTGGGTTGCACAAAATTACGTTCTATTCAACATGGAAACCTATTTCACAGCGCTTAATGTTTATTTTATAATTTTGAAAAACGTACAAGAGAAAACACTGTTTTTCAACTTTACATTTGTATAATTTTTTAAAATAACTCGAAATAACGTAAATAAATTAAAAATAAATATCAATAAAATGTTTATAATAAATCGTTCAACAACCTTAAACAACATAAACAATATAATTATAATTAAAAACAAAATAACTCGAATAATGCTTTCTTTGTAATATCTAATCTAAACTAATAGTTAATAATAATAATTTCTAATTAAAAATAGGCTATTCAAGAAGAATTGGGAGAAACTAAAAACAGAAAATCAAAATCTATTAAATTATTGATATATGTTTAAACTTTAAAGTTTAATCATCTACACAACAATAGAAACACATAAGTTTTAAAAATGTATTTCTATTACTTCCAAATATATGACAAACCATAAAAAGCTAGATTCTAAAGACCATAGAAACGTTTTTAGTCCAAACATTTACTGTAAGTTAAGTTAACAGCATCCAAATATGTTTAGATTTTGTATAATTTCACAAAAAATGAAATTATTATTAGATCTAAATAATCAGTTGTTTTATCCACAACGAAATACAAAAATCCTAACATTTTAATTTCACAAAGTTATATTTCTCTATATAATTAAAAAAGTAATGTATCCAAACTAATTTATAATAGATTCCATCACATACAAGTATATATTTATTACAGTCCACTTTTTTGTCTAGTTATTTTAAAAAATTAAAATTACTGTCTCAGTTCAATATCAAAATGTGAACTCGCTTTCAAATGAATCTTATTTGTAAGATTTCCTTTCTCATTTCGATACATTATAAGCAGTCTATAGCACATGAACCCGAACAAACTAATGAATCATCTGTTTATGTTTGAAATTCTCATTTCAATATCAAGCCCTATTAATCTTGGTGTACCTATATAATAATTGCTGTTGAAGCCATTAAAGCGAATAACGTTCCTTTAGTCGAAATCAACTGCATTACAAGTTATATTACACATAAAGTTTGAATGACAGACCAATGTCATTAAAATGTATGTATACAGAGTTGACAAGGTATTTATCGTATCTGTGTTGTTTATAGTTTAACTTTTGAGCGCTAGCTTGTCTGATTGTACATCTGTGGGTACTTATAGTTTTCGGCGCCTGTCAACGCTTTATTGTTCAAAGTGAGAATATCGTAAAGAAGCGGAACGACAAACTATTGTTGGACTTAACAAATTCGTACAAAACTAGGATTCTATGGAAAATTAAGTCAAACCGCTTAAAAAGGACGTTGTAGAAAAAATATATTAAAAAAAAAAAAACATACAAATACACTTTTAATGCATACAATTTAAGTACATGAGGTAAGGGTTTCAGCCACTGTAGCCCCATCCCTCCTGTATCTACCCCTGGTTGTACCCCAAATATTCAAACGTAAAATGTTGATTACACAGAATGCGTTTTAACCGTTCCACGATGGAGTTTAAAGAAATCTCGACTTTACTATAGAATCGAAAAGAACGTTATTGAGAAGAAAAAGTTATTGTATTCATTTTTTTTTTTAAATATTTTCAACAAAAAAAGTTGTGCTTTATGAATAAATAATGTCTATTTTCAACATCAAATACTAAAATATCAAATAAAGAACTTTCCTTTCGAAAATCTTCCAATTTTGTTTAGAGGTTTCTGATTTTTACTTTAAAAACATCACGGACGTTGTAAAACGCGTTTTGCATAGCTATATGATTGGATAAAAAAAAATGGTGAAAAGTAAAAAGTATATCAACAAAGCTGTAAAGTCGTTGATAAAATATTTACCAAACATTAAAAAATCATAATTTATTACTATACACAGTAGTTTTAGTAAGCAAAAAAATATTTTCGAAAAATTGCATTTCCGGAATACCTTACTTAAGGTATTATGGATATAACGCGGTCTCGATAATTACAAAAACCATCCTATTATACATTTCTTGTCGTACACATTGAGTATCTCGGTTTTGTTTTTGTTTTAATACCGGACGAAAATAATTAATGCTCAAACCGTTCATTAATCATTACCTGGTGGTGATTAACTACGCCCGTTTTGCGTTTGTATTTTGTAATTCAAATATTATACTCTTTTACATAATATAATAAAGCGTGCACTCGACTGTAGACAATGTGATTATTATTTCCGATTGATCGTGACCGTCTTTAGATAAAGATAACCGCTCTCTTTTTAACTTTTTTTTTCTTTCTTTATAATAACAAATTTATTCGTAACAAAATCGATTATTTTATGTTTTATATTTTTTTACCTAGTGAACGATTGGTGTTTTTTTTTTATTTTTTGACCGCTGCGGGCGAACCGTGTATGATAATTCCATTCCGTCGCGTTTGGCCATACTGTGGACGACACGGAGTCGACGGCGTAGTGCACTTGCGGCTTTCGACTACAGTGTAACACCACGCGTTCGTCGCTGAACGGTCGTCGTTCAAGTTTCGCTTGACTTCCGTACTTACGCGTGGTTTTTGGTTTTGGCCAAAAAAAAAAAAAAAAACTATCATCGTTGAAAAAAAAGGCATTGATAAATTCGTACCATCCGTGGGTAGGTAAGTGACGACGATTTTATTTGTTTGTTTTTTATCCATAGGCGAGAAAATTTTTTTTTAGAATATTTCGATGACGATCGGGGCCGCGCTAAGGGGATGTGCGCCAAAAGGCTCCACAAATTTTAGGTATGCCAAAATATGATTTCCCTAGAGCATTAAATGACAGTTAGCACGGCACTAATGATGAAAATAGACAACGATAGATGTGTGTGATGTACTCGCCCTAGTGACGGCCTAGAATTCAAAACTAAACGAAATTATTTAAAAATATTATAAAATAAGACGTATAACATGTTATAAAAAAAAAAAAAAGACCAGACAACGTGTTCCGCACAGAAAGTACACACGAGTAGGTTCGACCGATTTATTAACCTGAGCATAATATTTTCTAGCCTCTCTTGGGTAATTGAAAGGTTTCGGGTGTTTTTTACCAGACGCGTTCCGTTATTTTATTTTTTTTTTTTTTACCTATAAAACATACGGGCACTATATATGAGACAGATAGGTGTATCTTTTTACGGTTCGGTTTGTCGTTGTACGCAACCTCAACCGCCGCCCGGCCCGTAGTTCAAAAGTGAAATGTGCACATACCGGACGGTCAATTGGAATTGAATTCTTGTAAACACGGGGTAACCACCAAAAAAACTGCATTGGACTTTATCGGAGGAACTATACAATTTTATGGGAATCGTCGACATCCGCAAGTCTTGTGCGAAGGGAAATTCACGTTCAATCCAATTTATATGTCTCGAACAAGATGCGCGTGTAAAATAAATAATAATAATACCGGAAAATCGACAACACGGTATACGCGCTTATTAGTATTTATTTATCTGAAAACACTTTGCGCACAAAGTTCGCAACAATATTATTTGCACTTGAAAGAACGTGTGGCCTTGTCCGCTAGAATAAAGGAGTTCGCCAAACTGAAAAAAAATAGTATCTTATTTCGCAAAATTAACCCGACCATAAACCGTAACTAAAACTGTTTAAAAAGTAATATAAGTTTTCCAACTTTACACGAACCGGTGTTAGGCTACGTTGACCGTTCTCGGATGGGTGACCGTAATGTTTTCCAACATAATTGAGCCTTAATGCATTGTCCAGATGTATAAATGCGGAAATCTCAAAAAAAATAAACTTCGCAAAGTCGATAATCCTTTTTTGTTTTAATATTACTTTTAAATTAACAGCGGTATTCTCTGATTTGGATATCACTCGGAACCGCTATGGAAGGAATAGTTAATATGGTTATAAATAAAAACCTTAGATTTTACAAACCACGCCTATATAATTATGAAAGGTAAAAAAAAAAATTCACTTCTTCAATTTCAAAATCAAGACAACCTCGATACCACCATAATAGCACCTCCATACTTAACTTTGATAATGTAATCAAAAGTCAAACAATTTATCATTTTATGAAACTAAAATCATTCACCTACTCCCAAATTACATAAAATAATTGTTTTCCACAATAACAGAAAACAAATTATAGTTTCAATTAAGTCAAGTGGGCTTCCGCACGTGGTTTCTTAGTGAGGCCCATTATACTTTCCAAGAAATAAAAAAAAACTAATAAATTTAAAAATTAAACGAGAAACAATCATTTAAAATTTTACAAACACATAGTTAATTTAAATTTTAGATAATGATTATTTAAAAAACAACCCATGTAAATTAATATTCAATATTAACATGTTATAATATGATAAATTTATGTAAAATTTACCTGTACACGAAGAAAATATACTTCAAAAAATTGTTTGACTAAATAACAACAAAATATTTTATAGTTAACACAAATGAACATGAAGTTAAATTAAATAATAAAAAGTTCACTGATTACATTTTTCATAAAAAATGATAAATTATTCAGTAGATTCAATTACAAAATTGTGTTGTCTTTTATTCCAGTGTAGGCAATCAAATTCAATTAATTCAATATTGACATAAGCAGTTTTTCTTTAGTAGGTAGTAAATGTTTAGACCATTAGTTGGCAATCACATTAATTTTCAATTATCTATCATAAACTTATTAATTAATTCACTTGGATAAAGTTTCTTGTTCAATCTGTGGGTCTGTGTTTAGTATCTCAGGGGATGAGTTTGGTGCTATATAAGATAGATACCCCTCTTACAGCAAACTTATCGACACGGTGAATGGTATAATAGATCATCAATAATAATTAATATAATTGAATGTTTTCTTCTATTGAAAAACATAATAACAAAAACAAATTGTTGGACTTCTAAATGTTTTATTATTTATAAACACATTAATGGTTTGTAAGAACTTTCTTAAACCTAAGTTTGCACAGACCGTATTTTCCGTTATAAACTATGATTTTCAACAGGTTTTTATCATTTACAAAGCTTTTACGTGAATATTATTTATTATTTATGCTCGCTCCTTGAATTATGGTAATATTAAAATTACTTTATGATTTATTTTACACTCAAAAGATTTAATGTTCTACTTAAGGGCTATGGTGTATGAAGTGTATTATATTATATTCGAGCGCGTTTATGAAGTTCATTGATATTATATTATTATGACATAGACAATCTTACAAAACCTTTTTTGAACCATATATAACGCCAAGATTCATAGATTAATGTACTTATCATAAGTATAACCCATAATCAAATGATCATTTCCTAGGAAATATTGATTTAAATAAAGATAACGATTTTTATGCTTCATACATTAAATTTCACACACAATATTGGGAACTTGAACTTACTAAAAAAAAAAACAATGTATAAAAGCAAAAATAGAAAAAGTTGGAAGTTGAGTCGAGAAGTCATTGTGCGTATACACTCTAGTGGTACTACAATGATAGGCTACACGAAGAGTCTGAAAATAATTACTAACAATTAGAAAAAACAGTGGTTTAATTGCCCTTTTTATACTAACCCGAGTGCTTTCCAGTTGCCCTCACTCTAATAAACATAGTCCCATTGGTCCTACTTAATAAAGCTTGGCGATTGAAATTTTATGTTTTGGCGGGTACAAAGCCATTGAAATGTCAAAAGGGGTGAATTTGTATTGTTTTATCTTACTATCTGTGTTTAAGTGCCAGTAAACATGCTATGCAGTTTTTATTGTACACAAATGTAATGTTATATAATGTTACGAGGAAAGATTTATATATTGTTTAAAAGTTATACGTATACCTATAATATAACTCTATAACATGAAATAACTTGTAATATAAACTTGTATTTAAGTTAATATCCTTTAGGACTTCGTGTGAAAAACATAATATTGTAATAATACTTATATAAATACACGCTACTAAGTTTACCGAAAAAATGCATTTTCAAAAATAACTAGAACAGAAATCATAACCAAAACCGATAAAATAACAATATAAGGTTATAACTGTGTTCGTCGTTTGTTGATAACTGTTATTTTTCTTTTTTGACTAATTATTTTACACTACAATGTATACATTACTAAAAAAAAATTCAGCGTTTCGCTACATTAGCCAAAACGTTACCGCAATACAAAATGACAACATTATCAATAAATCAGATTTATCATTAATTCGAGTGGATTATGCCTTTTTTAGATGTGACACAGTAGTGGTGGGAATAAAAAAAATTACTGCCTCTGTGTGCTTATGTCCTTTGTGTACGCTGCTGACCACTTAAGCTTAAATATTAATCAACCGCAGTTCCAAAGGGTTCGATTAATGAATGACATCCCTTTTTACATCCTTAAATTTAACCCGGGAATGTATCCAAAAATAACCCGTTGTCTACCTGCGGTGTCGTTTTACTTTAAGTTGTGCTATGCATTTTATGTTATTGAATTTTTAACTGTGATGACTACGCATAATATATTGTATACACATAAGTATACATATTAATTTTTCTCTAGTTGACAAATTTAAATGTTTTCCTTGCTTTAATCGGCTCACACTGGCTTATACTGATATATTTGTTATACGAGTCAAAGTAAAGGAATTGTTACACCAAGTCTCAAAATCCTCTAGGCATTTTTTTATTATAATATCGGTTAGGGTTCAGATTTTCAATCTCGTACAAAAGTATTTGATCGCGTGATTTGAAAATGAAAAATTATGTTAATATGGCATATACTTACCATAAAGCATACTCTTCATTCGATTGTTCTGGCATTTTCTACATAAATTTTGATCTCCTGAGATCGATTTCAATTTTTATTAAAATATTTTTACCCTAATAACTGATGGTATTTACATAAATTCGTCAGTAATATATGATGTTATTTGTTTCACTCTGTATGATAATCATAATTTTGTTTATAGTTAATATGCAAACGTTTATATTACTCTAACAGAATTCTTTATTTCTGTTGTAGTTCAATATATTTGGTTCAATTAGTTCCCATCACGATACCGAAATTGCACGATACAAAATTAATTGCAGATCAATTTTAAACTTATTTTTACCATAATTTTTTTATTTTATGCAGGCGATGATTTTCACACAAAATGTATCTTTTTTAAATATATATTTTTTTATTCAGGATTTGGCTTTAACATTAGTCATTAGCCGTTTTAAATGTTTTATTTACAATAAAATAATATAACGCTCTTTCCACAACGAGAGCTTCCTTGGCGAATACTAAAAGTTTGCTTTTGAGCTTATTATACTTTATATAAAAAAAAACAAAGCTGTGGATCTACAAGAACTATTGGCGTAACATTAAAAGTACATAATAATAAATGCATTATAATTGATCAGGTCAAACCCGATGGGAATCTGCGGTTATTAATGTACTAATAATGACTAGCTTTATATTTTAACATTATTATATTATAATGATTTGTATTCTAACATTTTCTACAAGATACACACTAAAGTGTTGGTCTTAAAAGCAAAGCCAATGCATTTCTACCCGATATAATTGCGCCTTAGTCAGAAAAATATACACAGTAGTATTTACATGGCATCAATATTATGTAATCAAATATAAGAAAACTATTTACTTTGCCCAAACACAGTAA